ATATATTTATATAGATATAGATATATTTATAAATATATATATATATATGCAAACGTGCACACCGCTTGCATACCCCCATAATACAGGGAAGCTTGTAAGATAAATTCAATCATGCGCGTGTGAGTGCCTACCATACAGGTATGCATTGGGGCATCGGATGTGTAGTACATTTGAAAACATATTGTCAAAAATACAAATATTCTTAGGTACATGTATTTTGCAGTATAAACGGATCGTCAAGCATTGGTATATTCTTACGTATATGTATTTTGCGATATAAAATATATAGTCTACACTAAACTCCCTCTAAAAACCAACACTGGATACAGAAAACTTGGTACCTTTTAGCCTTGAAACTTAATATCTATAAAATAATACGCACCGCCCTATTTTCTTCTTCCTTTCTTATCCGACACAAACTAATCTTTTGCTGCGAACTTTGGTCTTGGCAGAATTTCACATGCCAGTACCTCTGACACTTAATATCTCTCAAAGAATATGCACCACACTATTTTTTTCTTCCTTTCTTATCCGACACGAACTAACCTTTTGCTGCGAACTTTGGCCTTGGCGGAATTCCACATGCCAGCCATGCCTCCGGAGCCGTCCAATTTCCTCTTATTTTCTTTGTCTTTGCCTTTATCTTTAGTACTACCCTTATCACTGTTGCTGCTCGTTGAGCTTCGCTTTTCCTCCTTCTCGCCTTTTTCTGAATCCTAGTATTATAACAATGTTATCAAACTATGATTATCACCCTGTCCCAATCCTGATTACAAACTAACAATGGCGATTACTGAAGGTGTTGTCGTGTGCTATTGCTGATTCAATCATGTAGGTAGAGGCTCGCTGTAGACTGAGTCTGAAGCGCACCAAACATAGAGCTTCAAGGATATAGTCCTGGCTAGGCCAACTAGCACAGTGATTTTAACTGTCTTACTATTTAACTGATGCTGCCCAGAAAGAGTATATACATCGCTGTAGCGGCCGCGTGTGCGAGTGAGATACTTCAGTTGGCGCCGTAAAGTGGGCAGTATACACTTGCAAACGGTATACACATGTGTATGCAGAGAGAAATCATCTGACATCAGTAAACGCAAAACTAAAGCTGACACTGGTAAACGAGTTTGTCAGCGGATATATCCGACAAGATACACATGTGCATACCGCGAGGAACTAGCTGATACTGGTAAACGCATAGCTAACTAGCATACATTTGTAAACGAATATATCTGACAGGACACACATGCGCATAACGCGAGGAATCAGCTGATACTGGTAAACGCATAGCTAAACTAGCATACATTTGTAAACGGATGCTGATACTGGTAAACGCATAACTAACTAGCCTACACTTGATATATGTTTGCAAATTTCAGTGCCACATCTGCATCAATGTATGTACACACCTTGTACACCTTGTCCTCAGGTCTGTCCTTGTCTTTTTCGCGAATGTGGGAATCCCTGGCGGCGTTGCTATCCACGTCTACTGTTTTCTGCAACAGGTAATATCCAGACCACAAACAAAGTAGTTTGAAACAGGAGCTATCAATAAAAACATAAACCTGGTAAAAATCTGGAGGATTTTTAAAGCCTGCGTAGGACTAGCTATCTCGAAAAGGTGAAGGAAAGAACGATCCTGGCATTAGAGATGCTAGTAGTATGCGAGTCCTATATGACCGGTGACTGTAGCACATCAGCGAGTACGCACCTCTTTAATCTGGTCCTTCTTCGAAAGTTGCGGCGAATTCATATTCAGAACATTGTTCTTCGCTGAGATTGACATCCGCTTGATCTGATGATCGAAAGTAGGTGCGAAAGTGTTATATAGACAAAGGATTTGTTTCCTGAATGGTCGAGTCTATATATAAAGAGCGATTTCACTGCAGCGGCGGTTTGATGGTAGGCCCATTGCGTTACAAATAGTGGCAGTGATAGAGTACAGCGATTTGACTACATAAAACATAATTCGGTGCAGATACTTCTCCCAATTGTAAGATTGGTGGTTTGAGTGTAAGCACTCGATATACAAGATTATTCAAGCGCAAGCATATAAACATAAAGTTTTAAAAGAGACCGTAAAAAAGATACAAGACACCAGATACACTGATACTTTATATATACATATATATATATATATATATATAAGTACCTGAGCGACCACCGACGAATTCCTCGATGACAGAGCAGACTTCGTGCTTGTACTTGAGTGCCCATTCATATCTGCTTCTACATCCGCATTTCCGTTCGGTATCGGTGTCTCTGTGTGCGTATTCCCAGTCGTACCCGCACTTGTGCTCGTGTATGTGCTTGCTCTACTGCTTCCATCACCATTGCTGCTGCTATCTGTGCCTCGGCCTTGCCCGTCTCTGTCGTTTATCGCACCATCAGTCTTTGCGGACGGCTGGTCTTTGTCATGACTTCCTTCTTTATTATTCCGAGGTTGTGCACCACTCGGGGCTGTGTGTGTGGTGTGGTTGTGTGTGTGCGTGTGCGTGTGTGCAGTGTTGTGGTGTGCTGTTGTGTGTGTGTGTGTCGGCGCTGTCTTGCCTGTATCTGCGTCGGAGTGCTTACCGCCCCCTTTACTCTGTTGTGCCGCTTTGATCTCTTGCTTCTTCTCCTCCACCAGTAGCTCACCCACCTGCGACAGAGGAGTTAGTTCGAGTTTTAGCTGGTTTCTCACACGAGGTTTTAGGGTTTAGTATCAGTTAGTTTTCCAGGGTTTAGGGTTTAGCGTTTTTACTCATTGTGCAAATAACGTATATCTCTATGTGTGTGCGGGATAGAAAGCGGACACCTCAAATACGAATATTAAAACACGCGCGCAGGCGGTTATATCTTATATAAGTCTGTATATGATCGATGTGGAGTCACAAAGGCACGACCTAGATATACAGTGCGGGCACTGGATTCCAATATGAATCTGCTGTAAGTCTACGACGGACGACTTCTGAGTGATACAAACTCAGCGTCCAACGGTATTGTTGTCGGTTTGACACACCATGACTTAAATTGACGGGATGATCAGAGCGGTAACACAATGCCATTTATATACGTACAAATAGACTCAGTTCGACACAAGCATAGCTCGTGCCCACGTGTTCAGAGTTCGAGTCACCAACACGTATACGTGCGTACCAGTATATACACCCGGGTGACCCAAAGAATATTTCTGTAAAATCAAACCGTTTTACTGTCCAACCCAGAAGACTGTGGAATCACAGAACCGCTACCGCAACTATTTAGAAGTATCATCATGTCGGCACCCGCCGATGTAATAGATAAGACAGGCCAAGAGACTATAACAACTACTTTCACCTAATGAACATTCTAGAGAAAGACCACAACAATTCAACGTTTAACGGACCTCGCCCAAGACAACCATCACAACAAACGCCAGTGCCTATGCATTGGCGCGTTACTCGAAATATAAGAACTGCACTACAAGAATCAACAGAAAAGTGACGCACTCAAAACATACAAACTGCACTACCCTATGCAACAGAAAATTGAGGAACTTGAAACATATTAACTGTACTACCTTATGCAATAGAAAACTGCAAAACTCGACCCATGATAACTGCACTGTCATAATCAACGGACAAGTGGCGAACTCAAACATATAAACTGTACTACCTTATTCAACAGGAAATTGAAGAACTCGTGCGCATCCTGCTGCAGATAACCCGCAAACAGCACATTGTCCAGGCGTAACCGACACACGAATGCCTTTGGTTCCACTTTGCCTGAGCGTTTCTTCTGCGAGGAGATGTGGCTGAATAGCTCGGCGAGTGATAGTAAGAGGTTCTCTTCAGGCCTTGGCATGCCCTTCTTGATGCGTTCATTGAGGTTGTGCTGATAGTGTAGGATCCTGTAAGGTTTAGGATATAGTGTTTAGGGTTTAGGGTTTTAGTATGTGTGCATGGGTGAAGGCATGCGTGTGAAGGTGAAGATATGTGAGCATACCTATGCAGATAAATGGACACACGTTGAGTATGTGCGAACAGTGCCCATGTGTAGTGTATAGACATTGCGGGAGAGTGCGAGCGATATTTAAGGTTTGTATTTATGTACGTGTGAGTTTGTATATAGCTAGAGTGATGTATGAATAGGCTCATCGGGGCGTGGTGATAATGCAGCATCCCGTGTGCGTGCGAATGTGTGGGGTTGAGTGTGATGCTATAAAATTACATTCATGTATGCGAGTGTACCGACTGAGTTGAGTTGAGAAAGGGGTCCAGTGTTTAGAAACCCTAAAAAATCCTTGCACACTTATCAAGGCCGTGTCGAACGTGCAGTATTCGGTGTGTTGGTGTGTGCGAGAGTGCGTGCGTGATACAGAGAGGATGCATGCACTAGTGCGCGGTATAAACTACTAGAGGTACATAACCGGTATGCACGAGTACGTATATAGCTCCATTGACAGGTATAAATCAATGAAATCAAACACACCTTTGCCGAAAAGGCGGGCAGAAATAAAGTGCTTGCAGTACTGAGTTGCAGTAGCACGTGTTGCCATAATTCTCGAGGCCAAAATACCGTTCGTTGGGGGGGAAAGCTGGGCCTAAAGCCTGCTCAATTTTCGACCCGTTAACACCCTGTATGTTGAAATTGGGATATGTACCTTAGAATCGGGATATATGTATCTGATTTGGGATGAATGAATTGGAACTGACGTGTGATTCCTCGGTCGATACAAACGCGGTAGTGTGCGTGTCTGAGAATTCACGAGTATTGAATGATTATACATATGATTAGGCAGCAAAGCACGATCTAGAGCTGCCCCACATTTATCTGGTTGATATCCAATATGATACGACCTCATTAGCCGTCGACGAAACTGCGTAAAGTACGTATACGTCTTAAATCAAGAAGTGTATGTAATGAACATAAAAGACACAACTTTAGCCAAACACAAATGTGGTAGTAAAAATTCAGTCTGTATGTGTATTTAATGATCCTTCGACATATAGTATAACAGTTTGAGAACATGAAGTAGATTTCACCCGGATTCTCGGGAAATGCTAGAGCTGACACAAAGCCAACTATATTGCAATTTTTTTACGGTCCGTATGCAATATATTCCGCTACAACTGATATCTACGCCGTGCGTGCGCCTGTGCTCCCACACACATACACACACGATGAACAACGTAAAATTCAGAGCTCTTTTACTAAATATGTATGAACGTATGTACACTACACACACACTCATTATATATAAATGTAT